GGCTACAGTGGGGACACCTGCTGTGATGTGGAGCACGTCCTCCTCCTTTCTCTGGCCTTGGTGTTCCCTCTGCGTTCACTCTTTTTTTCCCCCTCCTGTGCAGCTACCCGGCTACCCAAACCTTGCCCATCTACACCCTGTGCAGATGAGAATGCTGGTCACAGTAAAACGAAGAAGGTACCAGAAAATCCTCAGAAACCTGTGCTCAGTTTGAAACAGTCTTTTTCCCTTTAAAGCCAAATGACTACTACCCAGAATCTTTCTCACGGCCACTGTGAAAAAAATGGGAATAAAACCAACTAGATTTTAGTGTGTAATTCTCTCATAATCTAAACACAGATAAAATTCACATAGATTCTCAGTTAAAAATTCCTACAATAGCAAATGCTGTGCTAATAAAATTAATTTCTCTGATCATTTTCATATAGTCTGAATAGAAAACGTCATGTGTTTCTGATTGAGGACAATTGCTGAATTCTTCTCAACTTTTAGAGTTAATTTAAATCAAAGGATTTTTCTGTTTTCCCTTGAAAAGCATTGGTTTAAGCAAACACTCTCAGCAGCTGATTGGTAGCTGATCTGGTAGTGTGATGCTCCCTACAGAAAGGATTGCCTGAGAACATAAGAGACTGAGGATCTGTTGGTCCCTAATCAAATCTACTGCTTTACTACACTAATTTAATCTCTAGGAGATATCCAGAAATGTGATTTTTTTTTTTAACAGCCTTCCTGAAAAACACTGATACTCTTTCGTAAAATGGAGTTACGCCTGCTGTTACCCCGCAATGTGTCCCTCCATTCTCCACTGCTGCATTCAGATAGCATGTCGTCACTCTCAGCCTCTCCCATAAGTCCTTCAGAAAGCATCAAAATCTAACTTTATTCTTGTACTGGCACTACATAAATCGACCTTACCTTTCAGGTTACAGGCCTCTTTTTTCATATGATGCTCTGGCATCCTGAAATGTCTTGGCTTTTCATTAGTCAAATAATTTGGGTTTTTTCTTCATGTCTGTTGAACGAGTGATGTTGTAACAAGTAGAATTGGCTCTTTGACTTCCAGACCAGGGGAATGATAGTTCAATAGGATACGCCCTTTACAGAGAAAAGTAAAATTACTGTGTAGGCTATCAAATCCAATCTTGTGTTCAACTATACTTGAATGCTTGAACAGTTTCTCGCAGCAAGCTTACTGAGATACTAAGTTAGCTTTGGGGAAAAAAGAGAGGAAGAGGGTATTCCTTTGGAAGAAAAAAGTATTTGTGGCTCTCAAAAGCTGCTTGCAGCATTGACTTTGCCACACTTTTCTTGAAATTGTTCTATCTGAAGACTATTTCTTAACCCTAGAAACTCTCACTTTCCATGTCACAGTTTTAGGATCTTGTAAGTAGTGCCTCGTTTATCCCCTGGCATTTTGCAGGTTTTATTTGTGTGAGTTCTGTTTGCCGCAGTGGAATGGCTCCTGCTTGACACTGAGTTAGAGCAGAACAACTATCATATGCTTTTCCTTTAAAAGTTCAGCTTTGGGAAGTCAGAAAAATGTACTGAAGCTCCTCAGTTACTACAAGATTCTTCCTCATGAAGTTTGCTTCCCCATATAATCATGTCATTAGTGGAGGCATTCTTGAGAGGGCTGGCCTGTCACTTTAAACTAAGATTGCTGTTATGGCCGGTGTTTTGAGTGGGAGCAGAAATTTGGGCACTGGAATTGACAGCTCCAAATGTCTCAGCCTTCCAAATGACATCATTATTTAAATAAAAAAAAAAAAAAAAGAGAGAGCCCTTTGTGGGATCTTTCATAATATATTTCTGGTATTTCCAATGTGTTCTCAGGGATCTAACCTGCACTGAGAAATAGCATAAACCTCTCAAGTCAGAGATTTTATTTTTAAAATAAAAGCAAGATTTAACGTGTTAGAAGTTACCTTGGTGTCCAGACATAATGAAATGAGGTGTACTTTTCCATCCCCACTTTATCCCACATGATATAAAAGGGGTCGGTTTTAACTTGCAGTCAGCAGCTTCCCAAAGCACTCAAAGAAAAATGCATTCTTCTCATTTTTAATCAGGCTTATAAATAGATAGGGATGTTTTTATGTGCACTCGGAAGTCTCTTACCCTGCGAGCTGGCCCATTCACTGTGATTTTTCCTGGAACCTGGTACTACCCAGGGTACGTATGCATATCGTAGCCTCTGCCGTCATTTTTAATAAGTAGCTTATCTCTGTGGTGCAACTAAAAGCAATCCTGAGTGTCTCCAGGGTTTGTTGTAATTAAATTTTATTGTTGTATTTGAAAATGTACAGTTTTTGAAAACTGGAGCAAGAAAAAAGGAAAGAAGATTCTAGGAGGTGATAGTCTGATTTTTAGAAGGCTTTAACCCTTTGTAGTTTTGAGGTTCACAAGCTTCCTTATGCTCCCCAAGTCACTGTTCCTACATGCAACTGAAGCCATAAACTATAGCAGCTAGTGTAGTTTATTAGCTGATGTCAGGTAGCCGTGCAAAGGTTATCGTTTATACCTGCAGTCAGATGCTGTAGGTGCAGTAATTCATGCGTTCCTAGTAAGATTGTAGAAGGCCTTTTCTGAAAGTCTTCTGCTGCTTTCCCTTTCTTCTCCAGGTATTTACAGCTACAGGGGAGTTACTCCAAGTCGCAGTGCTGCCCATGAAGTGCCATGGAGAAAGGCGGGGTTTATAGAATCATTGAATCATAGAATGGTTTGGGTTGGAAGGGACCTTGAAGATCATCTGGTTCCAACCCCCCTGAGCAGGGACACCTTCCACTAGACCAGGTTGCTCAGAACCCCATCCAACCTGGCCTTGAATACTGCCAGGGAGTGGGCAGCCACAGCTTCTCTGGGCAACCTGGTCCAAGTTTACCAGCTTCTGATCTGGACAATAAAGAAACATCACTGTTTTGAGGGGAAAACTGAAGTTTATCTGTACTGTTAGCTGCCAGTATACTGCCATGCTCAGACACCACCACCCCAGGCCCTGAGGAGCGGATGCAACTAGATTGGGTTCACACCTAGTGCAGTCGGTAGAGTCGCTTGCACTGTGCCTTCAGGGACTGAGCTTGGCCTTGGTGGTTGTGCCCATCTCCACTCTCTTCACAGCTCATCAGGACTGCTAATCAAGCAGTCATTGCAGTTTGCCCCTTTGTGTTTTATTCCTGCCTGCTTTGCTTGCCATGGGATGCCACAGACTGGTTTTGGAGATTCACATAGCAATTTTTTACAAACCAAAATATTTTCTCCGACATCATCCTTTCTGTCCAGCATTGTTAGTAATCTTTATTTAGTTATTTACTTTACAATTTCTAGAGGGATTGGATGTGCCCAAGGCACCCCTTTAGGCAACACTTTATATCAAGGTTCCATTTATAAATACTTCATGAAGGGCTAATGAATGATTAATAGATGTTTTAATGTATGACCAATCAATTGTTGTAGATTTTGCAACATCCAGCAGACAAGTAGGTTTCTTACAAGCATAGATTATAACCATATCTGACATCTTCTACTGATGGGCTTCTAAACATCTATAACATACACACTACTCATATCTGTAACGTGCTTAAAACATCTACTAATCACTGATTAATTTTTTATAACCTGTTTTGAAGCAGAGCCTGTCTGTGGAATACATCCCTCACTGGTGTCTGTGGCTCTCCATTTCTATAGGATTGATAATTTATTCGTCATCTAAGGACTTAGAACTCCTACTAATTTCAGCTCAAACATTAAGCTTCTGTGAGTTACCTTCAGCATTTTCACCTCAGCCTAAGAAAAAATGTCTTTGCTGTCCCCAGACTTTTTTCTTCCTCAAACTTGTAGCTATTTTACCCTGTTAATATGCATGTTGCAAGCTCTGCTAAAATGCAGGGATTCCAGGTGACCCTGCTTTGGCAGGGGGCTTGGACTAGATGATCCACAGAGGTCCCTTCCAACCCCGACCACTCTGTGATTCTTAGGGGGCAAACCCACTCTAAAACATATTTTCAGCCTGTTGAGCTCAGTTTGTTTGAGTGTTCTCAGGACAGTTGTCCCAGTGATGATGGTTCCCAGCATTTTTATATTTTGTTGGTTTTTTTACTGTCATCCCTGTGTGCTAGGTTCAAATTTTGTCCACTCTTAGAAAAAGATGAGAAAATATAAACTTCACAATAATGCAGTGAACAAGCCGTCTCCCAGAGGACATTTGATTCTGACAGAGGAACACACATTTTGTGTGTTTGATGAACTGAAGTGTTGATAGGAGTGTTCCTCTGTGGGACCCTCACAGTCTCCTGAGGTGAAAGCCATGACTGTGCTCAATGCTTTATATGGAGCACCCAGGTAGAACCCACTGAAGTGGGCAGTACAACTCACTGCCTGAAAATTTATGAGTCCTGCAATTAATCGTTTGCAGTAGAGAACCAGTAAGTTGCTTAGTATCATATTTTGCAAAATAATTTTGAATTTTTAGTTGATTTCTACTGAACTTAATTACAGGGTTGAGTCCTCTGCTGTGATTTATTTAGATGTTGAGACAAATCCTTTAATGATGTAAATTAAAATGATCTGCAGGTTTTTCTCATTTGTGATGTCATTAGTAAAATAGTCTCTGTTATGAATATCCCCAAGTAAATATCCCACTCCAAATCAAATGCTAATCTTTCACTGATTGCTGTTTACAGCAGGATTAAGCTGCTACACCTGCAGCACATTAAACCTAAAGAAACACATCAAGCATAACTAACAAAAAAAAAGAATAAAGGGTAAAAAAAATAGTTTTATTCTTCAATATTAACATGGAATTTCCTCTGGCTTTTTTAAAACCATTCCTTGTCAAAGACACCAAAGCCTCAGAAATAAGAACCTCTCAAAACTGCTCAAGCTCTTGGAGTAGACAATTTTTTTACCCACGTTAGCACAATCACTTTTCTGTTATCCAGTTAGCACTCCGTGTTTCTGTGTTTATTGGGGGTTTTACCACGATCTTTTCTTTCTTTTTTCAGCTGGTTAATAATCCACTAGCAAGTCAAGCAGCAGCAGCTGCAGCAGCAGCTGCAGCAGCAGCAGAAGCAGCCATGGGCTCAATAGCAAGCTCCCAGGCCTTCGGCAATGCCCTCTCCAGTCTTCAGGGGGTCACAGGTCAGCTCGTCACTAATGCACAAGGACAGGTGAGTAGAAGATGGAGCAAACAGTGAATTCTGATGGCAGGCTGATCTTGGGACAAAAATGAGTTCCGCTTGTATGACAGCAATTTAAAAGTGCACATATTGAACATAAATAAATATTGATTTGGCAGACAAGGTAAGAAATGGAAAGTCGGGGAACTGGGGGGAAGTTAAGTGCTGTCAGAAAGTATTTTCAAGCCAGAACAGGCTTAGGGTTTGTTTTATTTTAATTCAACCTTTTGAAAAGATCACAATTGTGCAATAATATGGTATTTTAAAAGTCCAGCAACCCTGTGATTCTTAACAAACATTCCAGCTGTCTTCTTCCTCTTATACATGCCTAATAACAGACTATATTGAAGTGCTACTGTACCACTAAGACTACACTTTTTTTACAAATTTTAGCATTTCTGTATTACTTCTTTTCTAAAAAGGTATTAAATGTTTTAAGTAAAGGAACACAAATTGTAATGTAGTATCTGAGATGGATTTAACTCAGTGGGTTACTCATTTGCTGATTAACTAAGTTAAGCAATTTGTAATTAATCTGCCAGCCTGCGATGCAAATTTGGGATAAACTTTTTCTGTAAAGAAAACTTTCCAAGCAGAAGCTTGAACGATGTTTATGGTGTGTCTGAGAGAAAGATTGTGCATTGTCTGCATTTGGGAGCTGTTTATTTGTTGCAAACCATTTCAGTTTCATTCTTAATATGATGCAGAAAGATATGCATCTGAATCCATATATATATAAATAATTCAATTGATGCAGCATGCTGAAGTAGCGTTCAGATTGTGGTCATTGTCATTCTTTATTGCATTTACTAGGACTAAAATTAACACAACTACTTGTTTCACATAAAGGCACTGCAACAATTCTGTCAATATAACTTGTGACAGGACCTGGTAACTGAGTAATTTGAATGTCATTATTCTAAATGCTACAAATTGGGCGTATGGGGATATCCATACTGCTTATATGAATGTTAGACCTTGGTAAACATTTATTGAAATGATGCAGCTTCAATCATACGTGAATCTGAAGTTCAGTTTCTACTCTTACTGTTTACTATGGGGAGGAAAAAACATGAAGAGCAGGTTTTTTCCTGGTAATTTTCTATCGCCATGTAATTTAATTGGAACATTTTTTTATTTTGGCCCATTAAAAATAAAAGATCACACTGTATAGGACCCCTCTTTATGTTCTTTTTTAACATAACACATAAACAAAGATGCATCCTGAGCTTCACTATCACCCTCCAAGTCCCAGGAAAAAAAAATGCTGACCTTGTTATATTTACTGGGTGGGTGCAGAATTGTTCCATCACTACCCCGAGGGTTGAACGATGGAGCTTGTCAAAGTGAGGCCTTATCTAATGAATCATCTTATCGCAGGTGCACACCACACATATTAAAGGAGGATTGTATGAACAATGTGCCCTCTACAATAACCTTTCAATGTCTACTTTAACCCTTGTTTCAATCCCTTTTCATCAAAGGATCATTTTATGCAGCCAGCTTTAAATGGAGGCTCTCAAAAGCCTATTAAGATTTCTGGAGGGATGGGGTATTGGTTTGGAAGAAAAGTTGGTTATAATACCTATAACTCATAGTCAGATCAGCTCCAGCCTAGAAGCCTGCTTGTTTCTATCTGTGCTCCAGAAATGGTTCACAGTCGCCACTCACGTGAGGCACTTGGCACCAAAGACGTTCATTGTAAGAGCTGAAGATACAAACCCAGACTAGTTTTTTCCTATTACATGTCCTCCACAGGAAACATAAGCAAAGTGTGGCCATTCATTGCAAGTTTAAAAAAAAATACTGCTGTGAAGATATCACTGAATGAAACTGTAGATTCCCTCAGGCTGAGTCTTGTTTATTCCACACGTAAAGTCCAATAATTCCACAGGTTGTAGAGAAAGAGAAGAGAAAGGAAGAATCTTCCCCATTGTTGGATAAAATTACAGAATCTGTTTGCCTAGCTCTTTTAAATAAGGGCTGTCTTTTTATTACTGGTTTTTGCTGATGTTCCTTAGTTTATAATCAGTACTGCAGACCTCGCTACAATATAGATAAATATTGATAATAAGTGTGCAATATAACACCCATTTTTATAATATTCACCATAAACCCATATTGCTTAGAGCACACTTCTGACGCTATCTGTCTACAAAACAGGACTATTCAGTGTAATTAAGCTACATTCCAGAAATTAAAGTACATTCCCTGCAAAGTAATAAAATTGTAGCAACTAAACAAGAACTGAAAGGTAAGTTTCTTCAAAATTGGGAGCGTAAGTGAATAGTAATTTGGGCTACTCCATTTCTCAGTTACCTGCTTACAGTCGTTATGGAGCCAGATTTCCAACGTATGTTAAGAATCTGCCCTTTGAAAATTGCCCCTTGCAAAGAATCACAAGTGTGACACCCAAAATTCACTCCTGCAAATATAAGGCTGGGTGACTTACCAGACTGTTTGTATGTGCAATCTTTGTAATTATATGCTGCTTCTGTTATAGAAATTCAGGGCTTGTAAATGTCCATCTGTCTAGCTAAATCTATGGTGATCAGTAATCCCTGGAGATATTAAGCTATAGGTCAGCTCCAGGATCCTATGGCAAATTCAGGGAAATGATCTTTTGAATGACATAAGGCATGGCCTTAATTCCCAAAAGTGTAGGAGTTCATACAATCACAGTAACAAAATTATATATATTAACAATAATTTATATAGCATATTTGTTATTAATTTAATTACTGAATAAAAAATTGTGGTATGACAATATGAACCATAATACCAGAGCTCCCCAAGACCACTGCAGCAAAGAGATCTAATCCATTGGAATAATATGATTACATCACCTGATTAATTTGATATGGCACAGGTAGAGAACTCTAAATCTAATTTTCGTTTTCAGAGGCATATTATGAAGAGCTATTGGCCCATATAACACTGTTTACATTCTGTTTGCCCTCAGCACTTTCCAGGCATTTGCAGGACTGGGCTTTCATATCTTAAATTTAAAGGCGAGGGTAGCAGAACTGCTAGATTCCACCCTGTCAGTAGATACACTGATTTCAAAGAGAAGCTGTCTACCTGCTCGGCTTCAGCCTGTCCTTAGTATATCCATAATAGGATCCTATAGTAGGATCCTAGTGCCATTGCTGCACTTGGATTCTGCAGAGATGTAACAACCAGACATATCTATTTTTCACTGTTATTATAAATGAAAGAGAATATTAGTTTTCAGTGGGTTTTACTGTGTCTCATAAGTACAGGAGATGTGTATTTTGGCTGTTTTCTTTGTCTTTGTAAGGAGTGAGCTGCAGAAATATGGAAGCAAGGTTGGTGCTTCTGGTTTCTGTAAGTGATCCCTGCAGGCCAGCTTCCTACTTGGCTAAGACATAGTGTTTAACTGTCATCAGTTGCATTCGTAGAAGTCCCTTGACTTCAACAGGATCAAATACATTTTAGCTACAGGTACTGAGCAAGTTTCGTTTCTTTTTTGGTAAGATGGGAGTTGCCTAATAGGAGAATAATACATCCACATTCAGCAATTGCAAAATTTTACCATGAAGAGTAGAAAAGTAGCGTGATAAGAGTTGGCATTATGAACTGTCTTCTGGTTAAAGAGGACAATACATTCTACTTCCTGGTAGGTTAATGGGAAAACCTAAGTAAGTATGGTGTAATTGTACAGTACATACTTTAATTGAACAGTGGATTGAATTGGCATGGCATCAGTATGATGCAAGAATGCCCTTGGAGGAACATGGGCTTCATTGAGCCAATGGCTTGCTCTTTAGATGTGAAAACCTTCTGTATATGAAAAACCTTGAGCACAGCTCCACCCTGGCAATTAACAAAAAATAACTAATTTTTGAGAGCTGTAGTCCACAGGTAGCTCAGGAAACTAAATAGAGAGAGAAGCATTGTTGATCCAATTAGATAATAGGAGTACTTTGGTTCTCATTATTCTGATGAGAGGGTACACGTTTGCTCTTTGAGCTTCTTGATGGTAAATGGTGCTAATGAGGCCTGATGGATTCCCTGCTCCTAACAAGCCTCTCAGCAGTGAGAGTGATTACAATGGAGATAGATTTGATGGGATGCACTCCCTTTTGTAGTGTCTCAGCTGCTGACACTCTGCGACATAATCAGGTCACAGAGCCGGTCACAGCCATCAGCAAAAGCCATAGCTCTATCCCTCATTATTAAAGTGCATTATTCAGTTCCAGGCCTTCACAATACTGCCAAAGGCCTTTTTTTCATCTTCTTTTTTGTTAAGCATCAGTTCTCAAATACAAGGGTTAATAAAATCGTCAGCTAAAGAACTAGTAAATTAAAGAAATGGAAATAAAGCGCTCCCTTTCAAATTCGTTGAAGGATCACAATTAAATAAGCAGGGAATTTCTTGTCACCACACACTGTACAGTACAATGTAATAAGTCATGTGTAATAAAAACAGGGAATACAATTTTTTAGAATAGCATTGTCCTCATTGTGGACTGGCTTGGAAAGCACTGAAGTATCTTTCATTCAGAAGGGAATTGTTGTGCTCCCAACTGTTACACGTGTACATGGAGGTGCTGCTATTTTCACCATTTTCGGTAACTACTTTTTTCTGTCATGGTAAGAATTACTTGCAAACTGAGTTTATAATTTTAAGTGTAGCAGTTGTCTTAGTTAAAGTGGCCAAGGCCACAGTCTGGGTATGTATGATAGGCCACTGTGCTAGGACCACACCATTCCCATAGACAAGGCCATTGCCTTCTTTTGGAGAGTGAGCTAGTAACAGAATGTTGCGGAAAAAGGTGACTGTAGCATTTTCTTTCTATTCTGATGATATTCAGTTGGGGCTATCTCCTCTCGAAGAGCAAATACACTTTTTAAGTCTAACTTTAATGCAGTTTAGTTAAACAAGTGAGAGAAAAAAATAGTGGAGAGTCCATTTTGTTTTATTTATTAACTTTTTGTTTAAATTTCTATTTAGCTGATTATGAGCA